GAAAAAAAGGCAGTTATTCAAACATGTTTCAAGATAAAAAATATATATATATTTAAAAGCAACTTTTATATTTTTTGTTTAGGCTTAGCAGAACACGCTTTTAGTCTTTTGTATTGTTTCATGTCGAAGACAAGGGTCTTCATCATATGTTGTCTGATTCTTACCTTCATGTAGAGATCGATATGTGAATCAGGGTAAATATTGGCTTGCTTTTCCCTTCTTGTCAACTCTGCTAACATATCTACACAATTATTACATCAAGATTAAATTAGGAAAGGAAATTTGATCCAACAAACCTAGTACCCCGCTTTGACGAGGCAGAGCACCCCTTTCCGATTATATATTTATTTTTTGAAAAATTAAAATTTGTATAAAAGCTCCTCAGTTTAACATTTTTATGCCTGAAACCGAAACAATTAACCAAGGTCATTAGTCGATATCCAAATCACCTCAGAAAAAGATATATAGAAAAATATAAGTGAAAATTACACAAAATCCAACTTTAAAAAACCAGTGTTCTAAAATCAGATGGAAGGTTTCAATTTTCACAAATCAGATTTTTCAATCCAAACACTAGTACATTTACCCAAACCGTAAATCATTTCTCCTCCTCTCTTCTCAGTATCCATTCTTCTCTCCCTCTCCACGGTCATCCATTCTGGAACCATTCTCATCGGCGACGACAAGGTGATAGTCAGTCGTGCATCGTTGAGTCTCCCCCCTTATTCGGTCATCGCTACTGCAGACGGCGAAGCTATGCGCAGCGAGGAGGTGCTACGCGTAGCAATGCCTCGCTGTTCCTCGATGACAATGGCGCAATTAGGCGGAGCTCTATTGTTGCCCAAATCTACAACGGTGCCTCTGCTAGTGGTGGTGCTGTAGTGGTGGTGGCTGCAATGTCAGATCTGGTGGTGGTTGATGGTGCATCAGGCAGTGAGGTGCGGTGGTGGGTGTCAAATCTGGGGTGGTGGTTGGTGGTGTCGAATTTGGGGTGATGGTGATGGTGATGGCGTGTTTGTTGTGTGGTGACGAATCTAGCGGTTGTGGTGATGGTAGTGGATCTGGCTGTGTAATGTGATGGTGGTGGTGTTGTGCGGTGGTTAAGGTGGTTTTGGTTGTTAAGAGTGTGGTGATGGCAGCTTCCATGCTTTGAGGGTGGTGGGGGCGATGGTCGTGGCAGTCGGTGCGATGGTGATGGTGAGATGTTGGTGGCTGTGATCTGTCGAGGTGGATGTGTTGATTTTGTTTAAGACAGTGGTGTTGCTATCGGGTGATAGTGGCGGTTATGGCGGTGACGTGGTACTATTGGAGGCAATGGTTCTTTGCTGGTGGTCAAAAGTTAATTGATTGATTGTGATCATTAAATTGGTTATTTTGTGCCCAATAAGAAAGATAAATTGTGGCAAAAAAATAATGCGTGACTTGAAAAATTAATAATTTGTTACTGTTTAATAAGTTGTGAGCTATAATATTTATGATTTGTAATCTATAAATAAATTGTAACGTATAAATTTTTGATATGTGATAGACGAGCAAATTGAGACATACAAAAGTTTTGAATTGTCATTGTAAAATAATTTGTGACATTAAAAAAATTCTGATTTATGATCGAAAAATAATATGTGACTAACTAAATTATGAATCTGTGATCAAATTATATAGATCCGTGATCTTAATATATTTAATTTATAAAATATATAATTAATTAATTAAATTATAAATAAATTTTAATAAATATCTATTTTTTGAAATTTTAAACTTGTATTCTTACTTTTGAAATGGGTAATAGATATCTCATTAGTTATGAAATTTTCCCAAAATATAAACGGGGCGGTGGCTGTCCAGTCCCAGGAGGAAAAATCCCCCGCAGGGCAGCCGGCCTCGTCGCTGACTGGCCCCATTGCATCCCTAAGATTTACCAGCGACTTCTTAACTACTGAAACGTGGTTGCGAAGAAAAAAAGAAAGAAAAAAAATGCCCTTTACTGACCATAACGAGATCCAACCCCTTGGCATCTTGCAGAGAATTCCAAGGTTTCCCTTACAGTCATTTCTCCGATGTGGACATCATGCTGGCCAATATATACTGCAGTTCTTTGGGCTACGAACTCATTCATTCCATGTCCATTATAAGTCACATTTCCGGAAAACTGACATTGTAGAATTAATTAGTTTGTAGGTCAAAACTATTAAAATAATGGTGAATAATGAAAGAGTTAATGGTTTGATTGGTAAGGTGTACTAGACAGTACTGAGAAAGAAAATAAGCCAAATTATTGCCTACTATGTGCTCCAGTCATGTCCAATACTACATCATAAATGTTATGGTGACAACCTTTAAAGCAGAATCATGCTTTCCAGCCAAAGCCAATAACAGTGTTGTCTTCCCTGAGCTTGGAGGACCTAAAAGCAATGTCAACCTTTGGATAACAAATGAAACATCAGTTTTGGCCAAGTAACACATAAATATATGGTGCATGTTTGGTACGCAATAATGAACATGGCCACAAGGCACAATCTTTTTCTTCCTCAATAGTGTCCATTGCCATTCATTCCATGTTACCAAACATGTCATAGTGTCTAAATTGAATGTACGTATTAAGTCATTATCAGTTTATGTTCCCCACCGGCAAGGTTTGATGATTCCACTGACATCTTTCAGGATAGAAAGGTGCTTCTTTCGGCTTGGGAGCATATGTAGATAGTTTAGGAAACCCTTTCAGATAGAATTGAAGATTAGTCAGATAATATCCCCTTTAATTTGCCAGGAAAACAGTAGTATAACTTATGAAAAGAGGCAGTTGTTTACCTCCAATACATAAGCAAAGAAGTTAAAGAAGGTAGGCAATGCTCTGCTGCCTACATAGACTTCTGCACCAATATTTAGATGCTCAAATCTGACTTCAATTGTTGGCAAATCAATTCCAACTCTGAAAAAATTTATGCAATTTAGTGTAACTCTTGAAATTTAGAAACTGATTCAAATGTAAGTTTCACAGAAATCTGTGACCGTTCCAGTAACCTTCTAGAAAACCTACATATGTTACGGCTCATTACCCATTATAGATGGCTTTATGTGGCATTTAGCCATCACACAAGACCTTATTTTTCTCTGTAAATCAGATTGACAAAATTTTAATTTTACCTGTCAAGTCGGCTCCTTAGTCCCATCAAGAATTTCTCATTGTCTTCCTCGGGAACCTTTACTAGCCTCTGAAGCAACAATTTTCTTTCTTCATATCCAAGATTTTGTACATCAACTTCATTGCTGTCACCTTGCAATCCTGATAATATACCTTTCCTCAAACGATCGTAAGTGGGAAGCCTTTGGAGTGCGGCCCACTTTAGAGCTTCTTCATTGTCGTCTTCTCGCCTGGAACGTGAGAAAACTTCCAAACCATGGTTCCTCCAAGTTGAAAAGCTATTTACTCTCAGGCTACTACTGGTTCTATAAAGATCATCACCAGGATCCATATTATCAAGAGAGAAAGAAAAAAATATGCAAGAAACCTTGAATGAAATGAATCTTATATGGTTGAGGATTTTTTTATCTGTTCTTCTCTTATAGTTGAAGGTGGGAAAATGATCAATGAACATAAGACAATGTTACATTTCAAGGCATTGGTAATGCAGTTATATATAGCATGTTGAATGTTAGTTAGGCTAGGGGACAATCTACATGATATGCTTTTTAATAGAAGGAAATTAAATGGTGGATTGAAATCTGACCTGTTTTTCTAGTTGTTCCCAACCTTTCACTTTCACAGCACCCGTAGTCCAAAATAACCATCCAAATTGTCATTAAAATGATACGTGAGCTGCACAAGTTTTTCTCGTACACCCCCAGCACCTGCCCCTACCCTACTCCCAGGCCACTGACCATTCCCCATCCCTACCCACATGGTCAAGAAGAAGGATGGAGAATCTACTTAGCTAGATTAGTTGCAGAATCAAGGACAAAGCTCAAGTGATGTCCAAATGTTCTATAAGGTATAGAGAGTGAAAGATAATAAAACTCTGCCAAAGCACATTAAGAAATTACATAGCCACAAAGTCACAGTAAACGGTAAATTTTGTAATTATGATGCCACAATTTGCTCATTAAAGAGAACAATCAAAGATCATGGTGACAATAGGCCTTAAAGTTAATCAATTTCTCCCAGAACGTCGAAAATTCAGCTTATACAATCTTACTCGCCCTTGGTTAATCTAGTTCCAAATCAATCCGCATAAACCTTCACTCTCTTTGGCAATTCTGGGTACGTCAAGCATTACCCGCTACTGGTGTATCGGTTGCAAGGGTGGACTGGGGTGGGAGCACCGAGCACGGGAGGAGCGAGAAGGGCACAAATGATTCTCTCCTCGGAAAGTAAAAGGAGCCACGTTGGATCAGTTTACTCTGAAAAATTTTATAATTAGAATTTTTTTTTCATAAAATTAATCAAACAAGTTTAAAAATAGGTTTTTGCCTCTTAATCTTCTTTTGGCTTTTCAAAATTATACTAAACATGTCATAAATATGATCACACGTATATCTCATTTAAATCATATGTTAAATAATTTTCAACGAATTAAAATAATTAGATCGCTTCATGCATATTTAGGGAAGCTTTATTTTAATTTAAATTAATCAAACATAATTTTATCTATACATTTCATAGAATACCTAACTTGATAATACATTTCATAGAATACCTAACTTGTTACTTATTATCAACAAATTTGTAGAATCACTACTTTAAGCTTTACCAATCTTGCGCAAGGAGTTAAACTTGATTTTTCGATAGATAAAAGTCTTGAATTCAACAGCCGTCCACCCATCAATGAAGACATTCGATAAAGTCGAAATTTTTTTATTGATTACTAAGCCCCTGTTTGGTAAGAGTCTGTTTGGAAGTGATTTTAAGAATTGATTTTTTTATTTTTAGGGAAAAAGTAGGGTCTATTTGTAAGAGAACAAGTCAAATATGACGGCTGAAATAGTAAAATAATGATCAAAAAATTAATTTTTGAGGGAAAAAATCACTCCCAAACAGGCAACCAAGGCTGGTGGAAGCAAACGTTTGTGTAGGCTATAACTTGGATGTCTACATTATTTCTCCAAGTGCCATATGTATCCCTCAATAAGCTTGTCTAAAGATCGAAATGCCCTCTCACTAAATTCACAAGATCTGTGAAGCATAATTTTGTTACTCTTTCCCACAATTGAAATTCAATCAAGGACAAATTCAATTTTACAGCAAAAAGTCACAAATTGATGGAAGAAATTCCATTTTAATTGTCCTAATTAAAAATCGACACCACATCATCTCTTGTCAAAAAAGTCAGACCAGACATAGGCTAAAATCTAAATAGGGTTGGCAAAATTACAGCAGCAGCATAACTCAGCACACTACTTGTTAGGCTTAGGATCAGTCATGTAAAGCCTCTATAAACTATGAAGCCAATGAATTTATTACTCATGCTAGAAGATTATATGGCCACCAAAATTACAAAATTTAGATAGTGTTTGGGGGATTAAAATTAGATTTTCTAGTAGATTGTAATAGAAATTTTCGAAATGTATTGCTGAAAAATTGTAGGACTCATAAAAGATATGATTAATATTGATTGTTTGACTTTAATTTAGATTTAAATCGGATCTTAATCCGTACCAAATGAGCTCTTAATCTAGTTAATTCTAAGAGCATGTTTGATAAATATTTTTTGAGAGGTGATTCTTTGAAATATATTTTTTTGTAAACTTGTAGTTAAAAAGTAGAAAAAAAACTATGCAAAAATGTTTTTAAAAAAGGATTTTAAATGTGTAGTTGAAAATAAATGTAGAAGAGAAAAGTTATCCTCAAATAAGCAAAATCAAACAAGACCCTTGTTGTTTCCTGCAATCTAGAATTACCAAGTTTCCCGAATACATGCACGACGCCCTCCTAATGACGTTGCATTTTCTAGTTTGTGTCACTCCTTCATTGTTAATGCAAACTGTGTGCGTCAGGCTTCTGATAAGAGTTGAATCTAATCAACATGTGAAAAGGTGGATAAAGATGGAATTTGAATAAAGAATAATGCCTCCCCCCCCCCCCCCCCCCCCCCCCCCCCCCCCCCCACAA